CCCCCTCCCCTCCCTCTGTTAATCTTTTGGAAGAGGGAATGAAAAGGGGAGGAATCTTGTATTCCTGTTGAGTATAATCATCAGGTAAACCTGCCCTTTACGAAGTGATATTGACAAATGAAGCTCCCTTTACAGCTGCCACCAGCCTCCTTTAGACATTCACTGCTAGAGTGGAGTTCTGTTGAACTTTGGCCAACTTGCACTTTAGTATATTGAATGGCATCAGCTACACCTCCCCTGAGTTTTTTGATTAGTTCAGTCTGACTACTGATGAAAACAGAGGTTTAATTACAGTGGAACAGTCACCAACTTCCTTGCTTTTCAGTGAGATGTCCTGCACAGTCACAGTGGGGCAACTGGCGGCTCCTGGAAACAGGGAGAGCGGGTTCTGTTTTTCTGAGCTGCATGTACTATGGGGCATTTGCCCCTTCTAGGTCTTCAGCTCAATTGAAGCTGCAAATTTGACATGCAGCCTACCAGGTCTGACCTTTTTCTCAAGGAGGCTGAAATCCATCTCCCTTTGCAGCTACCTTGGCATTATGCCCTTGGGCCAATCCTCAGAGTCCAGCATCTTCAGGAGCCTCTTGGCTCTAATCTGTTCCTAGTGGAGGTTGGTGACTAAACACATCTTGACAGTAGCCTCAGAGTCCAGTCCTTGTCCACATGCACAATACCTCAGATGGCACATGACCAGGATTCACCACTGAATTTGGTCCACTTGTTGGATCATTAGCTTCCCTGGGGCAGGTACTGACATGCTGAGCTATGCCCCCCAGCAAAGTTCTGGGATGGATTAAGTAAACCTGCACCTACTGGGTGTCTCCTAGAAATGACATCACCTGCACACAGTTCATTAGTGAGGTGGCTAAAGCCTCTGTAGGGCTGAAAGGGAACTCATCAAGTCCATGACTCTGTTCTGAGGCATGACCACATAAACCTAGACCTTCCCTGACAGGTGTGTTTTCAACCTGTTCTTAACCTCCAATTATAAGCTTCCAAAGATGGTTGTAGCATCCCCATTCCCAACCTTAACTACCTGTGTAATGAGAACATTTTTCCTAATAACTAATTCAGTCTCCCTTGCTGAAAATTAAGCCCATTACTTCCTGTCCTATTTTCAGTGGACATGGAGAATAATTGATCACTAGCCTCTTTATAAGAGCCCTTACTATAGTTGAAGTCTTACCTCCTCACTCTTTTCTCAAGACTAAACATGCCCAAGTTTTGTAACCTTTCCTCATAGGTCAGGCTTTCTAAACTTTTTATCGTTGTTGTTCCCTTCTAGCCTCACTCCAATTTGTCCACATCTTTCATAAAGAATGGCACTGGATGTAGTCCTTCAGCTGAGGCCTCACCTGTGCCAAGTAGGTGGGACAATTATCACCCATGTCTTACTTACCACATTCCTAAGAATACACTCTAGAATATTTGCCTTTTGCGCATCACATTGACTCCTGTGCAATTTGTTATCCACTTTAATAATCCCCAACCCTTTTAGCAGTACCACCAGCTAGTCAGTTATTCCCCATTCTGTAGTGATGCATTTAATTTTTCCTTCCTACGTGTAGTACTTTGTACTGGTCTTTATTGAATTTCATTTCAGAGCCCTGACACCTGCAGCCTTCCTCTGTCAAGTTCTACCCTAAGCAGAACAATTGTGGCCAGTGGGCCATTCCATAACCTGTGTGGGTTTGTTCATGTATGCCCTGTCTAGTCCTCACTCTTGCCTAATGGCCCTCTGTCTGAAAAAGGCCCTTTTTCCCAATGCCCTGGCACAAACTATAGTAGACTCATAGCTTTACTCCCTTCCCCCACAGCTGCGGGTGTCCTACAGTAGGGTGAAGGGCTATACAGATTCAAGGGAACTGGGCAATGGAAAAGCAAAAAGAGCAGCAGCATTGTGCTTGGACTTCATGCTAGCTGCTTGGCTGTTCAGCACTGGGGAACCCCTGCTACTTAACACTCATGTTCTGGCTTGCGCTGACAGTGGCATCTGTGAAGTCCAGCCTGTCTGTTCAGGTGCCACAGGACCTTGGTGGTTTGGCCTCCGCTCTTCTCCCTGAAAGCAGTCTTTAAGGGGAAAGCAAATCTCAACCTTCAAGTTTATAGCAAAGAAACAGGTGCTGTTTGCTGGAGAAGAGGTTCTCTGAGGTTGCAAACTGTCTGCTCAAGAGAAGACACTTTCACATCCTTGACCTAATTCCCATATTTTGAGTACCTTTGTTAGTTAAACTACAGTGAGAGGCACCAATACAAATTCCAAGTCAGTATAAAATAACCTGGACTTTCTTCTGGCCAGGGCTTGAAGACAAGGTAATATGTGATAGTGAGACACGAACACTAGGTCACTCTTATGGCAAGAGGGTTTTCCAGTGCATTGTGCTACAACAGCCTCAAAATATATAATCCCATGATGGCGCTGTGGGACTTGAGTAGTTACAGAGCCTTGCTCTGAGCCTATATATGAGGCCAGGAGGGCTAGAGCCTGAGCTCTGATCATCAGTGCTCCCACAAAGCCATGCTTCACCTTCTACTGGAATTTATCCTTAAGGTGAATCCTGCATTCTCTTCTAACAAACCCACTGACCTTATCCTAGCCCAGGTATACCACAGGAGACACTGTCTTTGCTCTAAGCTAGACGTGAGCACCTCTAGCATTACGTGTAGTAATAGACAATAGGTCCCGAATTACAATCACAAGTACAAGAATCTGATCAAACTCTCCATTCTGAATGCTACCTACCAATATGTTAAAAACCCACCTTTAACCAAGTTATGACTTGAGCCAATTCACCACATAATCTGAATGCATTAGTTCTCCCTGTATTGCTTGCATGTTGCTTTAAACAGTCTCCTCTACAAGGTCACCTGGTCCTAGATCCTTGTCAGCTTTTTATACTTTTTAATGCTAACATAAGCCTTCTAAATATTTCACTTCCGCTGATATTAGAAGAGCCGGGTCTCGACTTCCATGAGCTTTAATGCCTTCAGTAATTAAAAATTCTCCCCCTCTCCACACATTACCACCTACAACTGACACTTCGGCAAACTAGAAGCATAGCAACACAGTAAATTCAGATAGTCAAGAAGAGAGTTTTGGAGATCAGGGGTACAGAAGACTATGGTAGGAACATCTGTTCTGTACATAGGGCTGCTGCCATCAGTGATGAAAGAAAAAGTACTGCATGCTACTGAACTAGAGTCAAAGCCTGTCTTGTTTATATCAGTGTGCAGGGGCTAATCACTGTTGGCCTGTGTACAGGAAGATTATTGCACTGGCCAGTAGACAATAGAATCAATAAGAGTTACACCTTTTCCTCTAAACTTGCTGGTTTAATCACTTTTTTAAAATCAAGCAGGCTATAACTTTCATGTGAAGCAAGTTCCATGTTCTGCCCATGCGCTTGGAAAAAAGGTTAAATTAGACACAAATAGGAGTTTAATTCCGACACTATTTTTTATAGTCTGCAGGAGAGGTCAACTTTGTACACTTACCAGATTACAGAAGGCTGGATAAGTGCAAAACTGAGGGACTGGGCATATTCCATCTTCGTGTTTATGAATTCTTTGTTTAGTGCCTGTAAAGTACTAGCAACCATGCTAAATTCTGTTTAACAGTCAGCTGAGTGTATTAAAAGTCTAAGTATCAGGGGGTAGCCATGTTAGTCTGTATCTACAAAAACAACAAGGAGTCTGGTGGCACCTTAAAGACTAACAGATTCATTTGGGCATAAGCTTTCGTGGGTAAAAACCTCACATCTGAAGAAGTGAAGTTTTTACCCACAAAAGCTTATGCCCAAATAAATCTGTTAGTCTGTAAGGTGCCACCAGACTCCTTGTTGTTTTAAAAGTCTAAAATACACATTTACGCACTTCCTGCTGGGAAGTAATTCCCTTTCAGCACCCAGTACCATCTAGACACAGTAGAACTGCACCACTGGCTTTAATTAAAGTATTAATGCAAGGGAAAGTTTTTCCTCCATGTGTTTCGGGAGGAAGGATGGAATGTGTCCACTCCAAGAGGCTCGTAATAAAGTGACATTCAAATCTATTCCCAGGCCATGGAGACTGAAATAGGCACTGATGGAAGGGATTCTTTTGCAAAATGACATCTCTCTTCCAAGAAAGAATGGAAGAAATACTGGAAGAGGTTCTCTGACCCTTCTCCTTCAGGCCCAGTTTCTTCTATTCATACTGTAAAAGAGTCTATCTGCTTGTATATTACCACTTGCTATTCTTTTACCCTGGTCATGAGAAGCAGAGGAGATGGAATAACTGCAGGCAGAAGCCCTCTGCACAAGCACTTTTTTATTGAAATCAGTAAGTCATACAGATACAAGAATTGTACAAAACCCTAACAAGTTAAGTTTGCTAGTCTGACTCCAATTCTTTAAAACTGTGCGTTTGGCTATAAACATGTAATACACATTTCAGCAAAAGCTTGAAATGCCCATAAGAGAATCCCAGAGAACGTTTCCCCCTTCCCTCAAACTCTGCATTGGAGGGCACAGGAAGGCAAAGAGACTAGTTTCTTTGCTGGGACTCTAACAAGCCAAGAAGTGTCAGGGCTTTGGCCATCAGGGGAGCTGATACATACCAGCTAGGGAAGATTCCCACTATTTGTGCTTATGCACAGCTCCTTTGCTTATACATTCAACTCAAAATTAAAAAAACAACTGACTGACTTTCTGAGCAGGAGTTCTCTATGGATATGTTTAAATATAAATTTTGGCACCCCCTGCATCAGATAGTTTTAGTTTGCAAGCCGAAGACAGAAAGGGAGGCAGAAGGCATAAAATTTCATCCTATGTGTACACATCTTACATGATATCCCTGTCAGTAAAATCCAGGCTTCTCTGAAGGCCACCATTCATCTTACAAAACAGGGGTCTGTTCTAGGTTACCAGGTATGTCATTCTATAATTCACAGTATGAAAACCATTCAAATTCCACCTTAGCAAAAAGAAGGGGGTGAGGGGGAGTTGTTTTTGTTTTTTTTAATGATTTTCAGAGAATTATAAACAGGTTTCAATATAAACTAGACCTGGTTTTGTTCTCTCTAACTCTCCTCTCAACCCTGCCCAACACATTATAAAAACCCAACCACAGTATGCAGTCACCATCAATGTTAAAAATGCACTAGAGATAGCTGGTTGGTGCTTTGAACAGTGTGGAAGAACACAGCGAACTAAGCCCCACCACCTCAGGAGGACAATTTCTGTAAGCCATGGGAGTCTAATGGCAGAGTCTAGGACAGACGCTGTGTTAAAGAAAGACTTTGTCCTTGTGAAACAAACATTGAACTTCCAGCACACAGGCTGCTACATCTCAAGATGAGAATGTGGGGATGTGACAAACTACATTGCTCTTTGCTAGATACAGTATGATTGGGCCTTAAGAATGAGACACTTATTAGTTCATCTTCACTACTGCTCCTGCTCCTGCTCCTTGGCCCTCTTGCTCCAGTATTTGCTATAGGCCTCCTGGAACATGTTTTTGCAGGCGATTTTGGCCTTCAGTTTGGAGCATATGAGGAAAGAGCCCCCCATCTTCCGGTGGAGAGAGTAGGTCTCCTCTGGCGGAGGGACAAGCCGATGCTTCAGCATGACAGGGATCAAACCATGGATCTTTTCTGTGGTGCTCTGGGTGCCGAAGTCAAATGGCTCCTCAGACGCAAAAGCCTCTCCCAGGATGAGAACAGCTTCTAAGTGGGCATTTTCCATCTCCTGCCCAAAAACAAAGAGGAGTCAATAACACACAAGGATGACTCCAGTACCAGCTGCTTTTAACGTATGCAGGAAAAGAGTCAAAGACCAGGGGGCTAACGCTCAGCAGTAGGCAAGGGAAAGGTGGTGCCCTGCCCGAGGTAAAGTCCAGTCTCCAGCCCAGAGACCCGGAAAAACTCTAGAGTGGCTCACTTACAGATGTCTCACAGGAGACCTTGGGCCATTGAGTTACAAGAACTCAAAAGACTGTGCAACATGGAGGATTCAGCTGGGATAATGGGAGGGAGTAACCAGGAGGAATGCAGAGTTGTGCACTAAGGACACTATTTACAGGTGCATTCATGCCCTGGGGAAAGGGATACAGATTCTTATTCTGCCTTTGGGCATGTGTGTAGGGCTCTCATCAAAGCCCGTGCTGCACAGATATAAAACACAAAGGTGGCTTTGCTGCAGCAAAGGAAGTGAAGGGAGAAGCTTGGATAAAATACATCCTGGCTACAGCCAGTGCTGTAGTTTTTCTAATTTCTCGCTCGATTTGAAGAGAGGCTGACTTAGCTGTGTCACAGAAATCCTGTATCCTTTCCTTCCCACTGCCAACCCCAAGAGTGCAGCTGTCATGGATTGTTGCTAGCTTCTCCCTATTACAGGATCCACAGAACATCAGACCCAAGGCACTTAAAGAGCTCTGCAGCTGGCCAGCAATAACGGGGAGGATTCCATTCCATACCTTGACTTCATAACCAGTAAGGAATTTCATTTCTATCGACTTCCTCAAAACTGTCTCTCTGTCCTGATCTGCAGCCGCCTTTATTACCTGAATAGGAAGAACACCATCAACAAGGAGACAGGAATCTTGCATCCAACACACCTTGACGCTACTAAGCAATTGCAGCAGCATTTGCTATCAAGCAGCCTGATTAGGTTCACACTCTTCCTTGCCCCTCCCCCAACTGCTTTGCGGATTGCATGGCACCAATCTGGAAAATGACCAGTTTCAGAATTAGTTGCATAAACGCATTTGCTGCAAAAAAGCCTTTCCTAGCAGGACTGGACTCAGTGGCCCACAAAACAAGTGGCCCTGCTTCCTGTGGAACTCAAGAACCAAATTTGCTTGGGGCACCCGCAGTTTTCGTAGAGACGGCAAGCCCCAGCTATTTGGACTTATTTTATGAAGTACAGAATTCAGTGCTCTGATAAAGGAATGGACATGTAATTCAAATGGCTTAGTGATATTAATTGGCTGTGTCATACAATTTATAAGCAGGCTGAAGTTACAGGAGATGAGCAGAGTATGAAATGCTCCAGGTCCATGCATTTCAACCATATCGCTGAATTCCCAGCAAGCAGAAAGGTACCACATCTGTTAAGATAAGCACTACTGCTCAGAGAGCAATATTTCAATTTGCTGCAGTAGGGTTTGTACATGTCGAGTCAATGAAAGAGCCTGGAACTTCAGGAAAGAAGTCACTGTGGCAGCCAAGTCCTTATCACATAACTATTACACAGCAGGACAGCAGCTCCACTGCAGCCACACTAGTCTGCAGTAGCCAATTGTAGGTTCCCCGTGCCCCAAGCTGGGGAGAGCCGAGACTAAGAGTGGAGGGAGCACAAAGTAATAGGGATGGGGGAGGTGTTATTTCCTCACTGAGACATGTGGGGCCATATTCCACTCTCAAGGTGGAGTTACACAGGGGAAACCCAGGGCAGGAGTTGGACCTTTATAGAGCAGCAGCCTCAGGTCTCCTTGTTTGAGATGTAAACTTACAACAGGATAACTGGGATAGCGGCAGGTTTGTGAGGGATACAGGGGAATCTAGGAGAAGGGGGCAAAGCTGTGGCATGATCTCCTTCAACATGCCCCAGGCCGGGTTTCCTCCCAGGAGCAGATTCAGCTGCAAACAGAAGTGCGCCTCAAACATGCAAGATCTTGAGACCCGACAGAGCCTTGAGTTAAGCAGGGCTGTGCAAGTGGCACTGTTCTCCCTAGCATAGCAAGGCTACGTGTGCAGCTGGAGTCCTCACCTCAATGTAGAGGTCAGTGAAGTCCTCGTCAAACCCACGAGTTGCGCCGAAGTCCAGCAGGGCCACCTGAATATGGATAAACCCTTCTGCATTACAGTAGAAACCACTGCAAAAGAGTGCAGCCAGGCGTGGGAAGCCTACGGCAGTGTTTCATTTAGCTCAATTATCACAAGTCACACGGGGCTGGAGATCCTTCCAAAGCATCTGAATTTCCACTTAACTCCCTCCTTACTGGTTAGGACTGGCAACATTAAACCCAGTAACATACTTCATAGCATCTGGCACATTAGAGAGTCATTCCTAGGCACATACATATGCTCAGACTGCAGAGGAGTCACCACCTATGATATCTGATGGGTGTAGCTGTAGCTCCCACACTAATAGGTTCTGCTCTGGAGCACATCAGCAAAGAACCTTGCTTCAAGCATTTACAAACACGGAATTCAGCCAGTCCAAGATTTCCTAGACAGCCCCTAGCACCAATGCCATTTCCAAACCTACCTGACAAGGGCACAAATATATTCAGCAACCAGACCCCTGGAGCACGAGGAAAGAAATTCTGACCATATAGGATCACCTCACTAGACATCAATATGTTTAGCATAGCACAAATGGCAAGCATTTGACTGAGGTGTCCCTTACTCAATAATATCTTAACTGTTCTTATGGTAAAGAATACGCATGGCTGAGATTTTTCAGGGACAGATTTCAGTAAAGTCAGAACTCTGGGTCTTAGGAGACTGGTCTTGGATACAGGGCAGAGCGGGTGGGCAGCCAGGGTAAAAGGGACCCATTCTCCCCCCACCATCAGCTGATGAGGAATGAAGAAAGAGGCCGATTCCATCAGCGTGGCTGGATAGCAGCAATGTTCATTCTCAGCCCTTTGAGGAAGCAAAATGAGACATCCGTTGATATTTCCCGTTATGCTTCCTTGTTTGTAGTGAAGCTGGAGGACACGTAAAAGCTGGTGCCCTGCCCATGCAAAGGTCTTCTGAGGGTGCTGGCAAGACAGCTAGCTCTGCTGGCATCTCTGCCTACTGTGACTGGAAGTTTCACTTTCAGGAGACAGTGGTCAATGGAACTGGGGTACGTAAGATCTTACTCCCTCCTCCCACTAGAAAGCTGCAGACTCCAGCATAAGCATATTGCTGCTGAGGAGCATGGTACAACATTGCTTCACACAATATACCCAAAGGCCAGGGGCTCTGCTCTCTGGAGGTCACTGAAATAAGCCTACTTGTTCTCCCAACAGACTGCAGTGTTGTGAAGACCTCACACCCCTCTTTGATAGATAACCCACAGCCCCTGCCTACCTTGGGTCTGAAATAGAAGGTTCTATAAAAGAGGCGCAATAAGAGACTATTTAGCTTTGGGGGTGGGAGATCGTCAAACAAAAATTCCTACCTAGTATAGGACCAGCTGGTTGCTGGGCTTACCTTGTGCAGCTGTGGGTCATAGAAGAAGTTAGACCAGTTCGGATCAGTCTGCATGAACCTGAACTCAAACAGCTCCCGCAGGCACAGAATCAGGATGTTGGAGCAGATCTTTGGAAGCACAATGAGGGAGAGAGAAAATGGGTGAGGAAAGCAGCAAGTCACAGCTATCCAAGTGTCAGACACACCACCCACCCCAGATTTAAGTGCACAGGAACTACATCAGCATGCTGGCCAGGTGCTGAGGGAGGAACAGTGTGGTACCACCGTCTCTACTGGTGCTGAGATACATCTGGCCTATTCTCCCCCAGGCACAGAACACCCACTGACCTCAAACCACCAGTGGGAGTTCTGTGCAGGAAGCTGCTGCAGAACCACATGCTACAGGTCTCATTTAACACTAGCACTTGTCTAGCTGGACAGCTGACAAGACAATAGAGGCCCCGTTACTGCTCACTCCTCATGGCAATTTCTCATCTCCCTCAAATGCTGATGACTGCTTTCAGAGCCAAAGGCGGCATGTGCACACATACATGCCCAACATATGACTAGGCCCCTGTTGTCTACTTAGGCCCCTGTTTTTTCCTAGAAAGTGAAGCTTTTAATAGAGTTATGGAAAATTCAGCTTGAGCATTTATCCCCCACCTAGCTGCTCCCAGTCACAAGAGCTCCATAGGAGACAATGAAAGGAAGGCCTTGTTTTCCACAGGTGTGGTGATCCCTTGCTAACTGCTGGAGTCAGAGAACCTCGATGCAAATTCTACACTAGTGCCAACTGTAAGACATGGACTTGCTGGCTAACTGGAGGTTAGCATCAGCCCCCTGCCAATCCCCATGTGGTGAGATACACTCCTCTTGCTCAAGACACAGCACACACAACATCTACCATGCTTTCTTTGCTGATTAGAAGGAAGTTTGCTAAGTGGTAGTTGCAGACAGCAGCCTCCAGGGGGCATCAAACAGAAGGGGGGCACCAGAGAGAGAGAGCGCGCGCGCATCACTGCAGGTACTTGAATACACAGTCTCTCAGTTCTGCTGGCCTGCCCAGCTTTTACAGGATGTATGGTCTCTCACAGTAAGTCTCTCCCTGGTGTCACCAGGGCAGTAAGGGGAGCTCTTCACAATGCAAGGAGATCCAACAGTGCAGAGACTGGGGAGGCCTGTGGAGCAGCAATTATAGTTCACCCTTGTGAAAGAATCCTGTAGAGCTTAGTCAGGATGAAATCAATGAAGTTCTATAGAAATGTAACAGGGCTCTAAGGAAGTTATCCTTAAAAACCTAAGGAAGTAATAGAGAACAAGACTATCAATCAGCGTTATGAACCTTATATAGAACGCTGCAATATAGAGTTTTCTATACAATTGCTCAAAAAAAAAACACACCTATAGAAAAGGGTCTCGCTCTCAAATGCTACAGGATTCTTTTATAAAGAGGCAATTGTGTCAGAGCCTGTTTAACAGAGAACTGCCTCTAGTCCCAATGGCAGGGTCACCGCCTGCTTATCCTGAAAATCTTTAGCTTCCACCCAGCTATTGTCCAGTGTTGGATAGAAGGCAACTGGTTTTAAACACCCCATCCAAGAGTAATAATGTAACACTGAACACGAGCGAAAACTGGTGCAAGTCAGTCACATTTGGGCCAGGAGGACATGGGCTAGAGAGTCACTAAGTCAGCCACTTGGACACTGTGCAAAGTAAGGGACAGACCCCACATCATCTCCCTTTGTAAGTGGGAAATGCTTTGTTGTCAGGTGGGCTATTAAAAAACCATCACCAAACACACAAGCAGCCACATTATCACGAATGACAAGTTGAAGAACAACCAAACAGCCCAGAGGTCATAGGCAACTGGATCTGGCACAGCTCCAAGTACAGTGTGTTGCTGGGATCTGTTTATCTATAGGAACATACTCTGTGCACTTCCTCAGTGACCTGCCAACAGCTGATAGCTCACACCAGCCCATAAACAACTCAATCCAAATACCAGGGCAGTTATTTCTGCTAACTGAGCAACAGCCAGAGCTGCCTGCCCTGCTGTAACTCTCCATCCCTTGCTATATTCAGCACTGATGCCTTCACATCCCTCCCTTCTGCTTGTTTACTGAGAGGTACTTTTCCAATACCCTTGTGCTACACAAGCCAATCCAGCAGGGGAAGCTATATTTGACTGCTAATGCAATGGGAAGAGAGACATTTCTGTGCTCTTGTTTCAAGACAGCAACTGCAAGCAAAGAGTCCCTCTCAACAAGCTGGGAACCTCTCCCAAGGTCAGGTCCATCCCTTGAGAAGTAGAGAAGAGGGGCTGCCTCTCATTAGGGTAGCAATGCAGCATGCTGCTTCAACTGGATAGTGATACACAGCACAACAGAAAGTCTGAAAGAGCTGGGGGGCCAGGACATGCTCACAGACATCTCCTTGGACAATCAAGGCTCCACTGCCATTTACTCCCCCCAGCCCAGAGAGAATGACCATTCTCTGTAATAATGCATGTTGACAAGGTCTAAACTCAATCACAGAAATTCCCAGAATCACCGTTACAATCCATAAAAGCCCAACAATTATAATCCAGAGCTGCCTCTCTCAAAAGACCACAAAAAAAGAGTCATCAGTGTTCCCCTGCCCTAGCAGTTCTCCCTCCACCTTGCAATCTGTAGTGATCAAGTCACTGTCACAAACAAAGGCTCCAAGACAGTGACCAAGCAAACACGGCTCCCTCACTGCACCCAGCCACAGCAGTGCTGGGGTAATACCTCATTCCGGATTTCCTGGCTCAATCCTTCTGCTTGGTCCAGCGGGAACCCAGACACCAGATCTGTGGTCAGGACATGCTGGCTGCACAGCTCATCCACTACATCAGGCACGTAAAAGAAAGGGTGATCCTTCAACAGCTCCCTGGGGACAGCAAGGAAAGGGTTAGGAGATCCCAAGGAGGCAGTCACTTCTGCAGTGTTGCAAATACAAAATCTCCTTACAAGCAGAGACCAGCTGCCTAGAGGTCACCCAAATGCCCTGCACTGGCACCGCCTGGGGTCCCCAGCTCCTGCAATGTGGGATAGGGAGAGAGGAATCCCTCACATTCAGCAGCAGAAACTACTCCACCTGGTTCAAGCCACTGATGGCTCTGAAGGGAGACTCCATCTAATCCCAGCCAGGACTGTGGTTACTAGAAATGCTCAGAGCTCCCTGGAAATGGGGGACCCACCAAGTTCCCTTTCCTCTGCCTGGGAGAGTTCAGACTGCATGCAGAAGCAAGGCTGGCAGTGAAGGCAGTAAGGGTGACACCTGCTGCCACTGGGGATGGAAGTGTCTTGCTACTAGGAACTTCCCCCACAACAGGAGAGCACATGTGTAGCACAGCAGGGTGCCTGGAGAGGGCGCCCCCCTGCAGGGGTACCAAGTAGGCTCAGGGACTAAAGAGAGCAGGGAAGGCAGGGGCAATTTTTGAAAAGAACCAGATGACATTGTCATGAGGGCACAAGCTTTCTAACCTTAGCTACTCCTGCCCCAAGGAGCCCAGACGGCCCCCTTGGCAAGCACAGCGTACATGGCAGAGCCAGCCAGCAGCTATGCCCAGGGACAAAGCAGGGGACCAAGGGGAAGAGGAGCTTGTCTCCCATCTCTCCCCCACATAAAACAGCCAGGCTGCGCTCACAGTGAGTGCACTCCACAGCAGGGCAGGTGGAGACAAGGGAAGCAGAGCTGTGCTCTTAGCATCAATCACCCGAATGGGCTGAGAAGTCTGAAGGGAGGCATTTACAGTGTCAAAGAATACAAGCAGGTTTCTACCATCAGGCCAAGAGTGCCCAGCAGGCAAAAAAAAGCAATTCAGTCCTGCCTCAGCAGCTGGCAGGACCCCTCCCCAGTGGCCAAACAGGCAGTTTCACCAATTGTGCCCTGCATCAGAGAGAGCAGCAGCTGCTCTGCCTTACTCCTAGCTGGGCACCACTAGGTGTCCAACCAACAAAACCAGTTCCAAAAGCAGGGAGCTACACTGGGGGTGACTGGGAGCATTTTACACACCTGCAGTTTTAAAGAACTACCCTTTCCCCCCCTATGCCCATGCATCTCCTGCCCCCGGGGCATGCATACCCAAGAACTTCTGGGAGTCAAGGCCACTGCAGAATCCCTAGCACCAGGAGTTAAATAATGGGGCCCCTCCTCCCAATATCATGCACCCAGGGGAGAAGCGTCAGAGGGCACCACTGTGAACGCACTTGAATTTCTTAGCACAGGCAGCTTCTCTCTTGTAATCACACTCCATGGCCAATTCTCTGCTCAAAACTTCAATCATGTGCTCATGAAACAGACCTAGAAACAGAATTGCAGAAGGAAGAAGATCTTTAGGCAGTATCAGGCATAGGAAATGCTTAGTGGTTCAATAAGGAGCAAGCCACTGGCGGAGAAGAGAACTTGCAAGGCAAACAGCTTGGAGCCAAGGCAGTGCAGCCTCCCCAGGTGGCTCACATTTCTGATTCCATGCTTAATCACAGTGACCAAGTTTGGTTCACTCTCATTCCTCAGTCTCTGATCCGAAAAAGCAACTTGTGTTCACCAGGCCAGCGAGGGCTGGGATTGTCCTGGGGGCCACATATGCAGGACCCCATTCCCCAGGTGCCAGATGGGATAATTCCTCTCACTCAGCAGCAACCCTTTCCAATACACTTAGTGGCAGCATGTACAGAATCCCACCCAGCTCTTCAACTACTGCAACGGTGGGGGTGGGGGAAGAAATACATATGCCCTTGTCAGGGATTACACATTTGTATTTCAGGTCAGGGGAAGGGTCTGACCATGGTTGTTTTCTTCCCTGCCATCTTCACCTCCATAGCTGGAGAGAGCGGGGAATGAGTACAGTTGTAGGACACGAAGAAGAGAATGGATTTTGCTGAACACTGGAATTTGTGATGGCAAATAATAGGCATTAAAGAGACACTCCATAAGCCAACGTCCACGCTGTGCACACACCGGTGCAGGAAGTCACCAGAAGCAAGTTCTCTCAGGCACTGCTCAAGCCAGGCAAGAGTCCCAGTAGGTCCCCTCTGCACAAACAGGCAGAGAAAGGGGTGGCCTTGTAAACTCCCTATTGAGCACACATCCCACCCCTGACCCAGACACCCCCGCCCCTCCACGGGACGGTTTCTACATGGGGCTCCCCAGCCAAATAGGTATTTGATTATCGAAGCGTTAATGGCAACACACACCCATTAGGCACAGACTCCACACCAGGAAAGCTGGGCAGAGAGAGAGAGTTCCCTGTGCTTATGCTAGTGAAATGACTCATGCCTGTTGCACATGGGCGTGCAGCGCTCTCTTCTGGAGCACGCAGCATTTCCACATGGAATGCTCCTCCCAGGTGCTGCTGCTCCTAGTCTAGATCAGCAGTTTCTCTGGAGAATGAAAAATCTGTGTCCAAAGACTACGAGTATCACATGCCATGGCCCACCCAGAAAGAGCTCGATGGAACGTTCTCTTTTACATGATCTGCCTCTTTGGCTAAGGCTCTGATTGTGGGAGCACTAGGTTTCCGAAGGGCTCCACAGGGCCTGTTTTTGGCATAAGGGACCTAGGAAGGTCACCCCCTTAAATGAAGAGTTTGTTCCCACTCACAATCAGTTTAGGATGCTGGAAGAAAGTGACAAAGGTCAGCTCAGTCTTTTTGTTTTGGGGTCACTATCCTAGAGGTCTGCTCAGACCTAGTTTTTAGCCACGCCACGGACTCGACCAGGTTGAGTCGTTTTTCAATCCAACCCAACCCTTCCCTTGTGAATCTGAGTCACTGCCACTGCCTCCAGTTTGTGAGGTCAGAGCAACAGCAGATGCATGCTCTGCTCCTGACATCCACCGCCTTCTGCTGCTCTGCATTCGCACTGCGACACCTCCCCACAGACAGGAGGAGGAGTCAACCCAAACCCAAAACCCCCCGGTTCTTTTCCCACCTGACCCAGACCGGGCATTTGTAGTTGGGTCTCACTGAGTTTGGGTCAGGTTGCAGGGCTCTAAACCGTAGGCCTGCATGACTAAGATCTTAGCTGTGCCAACCACAATGAGGAGACATGGGTCTTGAGCAGCCCAAGACCCATTATGTTTATGATGGTGCAGCACTGAACTGGTGGTGGGGAGAGGTGATGCAAAGAGGCCCAGCACAGATGCTGATTGTTAAGGAGGTGGCTATGTAACCAAGGAGAGGTACTAGTAGGTGTCTGAACCATCCCTCCTCCTCCCAACCTTGCCTCACAGGACCCTGCAGGATGTTTCTATCCTGGGAGGCTTCAGCCAGCATGCCGGTTACTTTACCTTCTGGGAGAACGTTGCTCATGCTCAGGACGGTCATCAGATTGCTAACATCGCTATTGATGCTCTGGGCTACACCAGGGTACTGCAGGGGAAGAAGGGCAAGGACATCAGTGAAAACAGACCATTCCAGGGTTAGGGCACCTTTAGGCTACTGCAGGACTCTCTACCATAACCAGAATATCACTTACAATAGCCACCAATACCTCCCACCTCAAAAATACACCCAAGCAGAGCTTCCTAACACCAGAAGAGAGAAGACTCAATGATTAAGAAGTCCACTATGGACCGCACTATGTAAATCTATTACCTGGAAGGTGCTCAGACATATGACGCAACACACAGAACAAACCCCTTAGAGAGATGTTAGATTCTACCCTAATCTCCCTGCAAGTAAAATGACCAGTTATGATTTTCTGAAGTAGGGATCCCAAGAGAAATAAATGCCCATGAGATACCAGACTCTCACTTCACTATCACTGCTGAGACACGGCAGACTGACTGCCCTGGAGACTGAAGCCCGTTGCTTATCCACAGAACAGAACTGCATGGAGAACAGCAGAGTAAGCGTAACCTGCCCTGCATGCCGACGTGCTCCAACCCTGAACTGGCAAGAGGTTGGATCAGTTTCCTCACCTGTTCAATACTTCACTTCTCTACACAGGACTGTCAAGAAGGGAGCCAATTCTACACTGTTTTTTTGTGATTTGAACACCTGTCAACTGGGAGTTAAAATGACACCATGATGGTAATCTTCCATCACTATTAACTTGGCCTGAATTCAAACAGATGCCCTAGAAATGAAAGGCTCTAGGTCACATCACCAATCCTCTAAACCAGCCAGTATCCACAAAATATCCCCTGCTTACAAAAGGTGCCCACAAACGACCAACTCAGGTGGAGACATAGATCACAGAGGGAAGCATCAAGACCTGCACACATGGCTTAAGATCTGTATCAACAGGACATTTAGCTCATCTAGATCAGTGGTTTTCAAACTTTTTTTCTGGCGACCCAGTTGAAGAAAATTGTTGATGCCTGCGACCCAACAGAGCTGGGGATGAGGGGCTTGGGGTGTGGGAGGGGCTCAAGGCTGGGGTAGGGGGTTGGGGGGGATGAGGGCTCTGGCTGGGGATGAGGGGTTTGGGGTGTGAGGAGGCGGCTCAGGCAGAGGGCTGGGGTGGGGCCGGGAACAAGGGGTTGGGGTGTGGGAGGGGGTCAGGGCTCTGGGCTGTGGGTGCAGGCTCTGGGGTGGGGCCAGGGATGAGGGGTTTGTGGTGCAGGACGGGGCTCTGGGTTTGGGGGGGGGCTCAGGGCTGGGGTAGGGGATTGGGGCATAGGCTTACCTCCGGCAATGAGTGGCGCAGCTGGGGTGCAGAGGCAGCTTTCGTGTCTTTCCTGGTGCTGTGCCCAAGGAACCAGACAGCAGCAGGTCCGGCTCCTAGGCGGAAGCGCCAAAGCGGTTCCACGTGGCTCTTGCCCACAGGCATCACATCCCCCAGCTCCCATGGGCTGGAAACCAGCCAATGGGACTCCAGAGCCGTGCTCGGGGAGGGGCAGCACATGGAGCCCCATGGCCCCCCTGCCTAGGAGCTGGACCTGCTGCTGGCCGCTTCCGGGGCACACCACGGTGTCAAAACAGGTAGGGGACTACTAGTTTTTACTGGCCAACCGCCAGGGTCCCTGGGTGCTGAGCAAGGCGACCCAGTGCCTTGCATTCCGCGACCCAGTACTGGGTTGCGATCTGAAGTTTGAAAGCCACTGATCTAGATTACAAATGTATGACACTGAAAGCCAGTGCTTCCAACGACAGAATTCGTTTATATTAGAAGCACCAAATCCGTGTCAACATTGAAACTAGTCTGAACACACACACAGTTTGTGTTGCCCCTGTTGACTGTTTTAATTACTGACAGTTTTATTGTGCGTAAGTAAACAATGTCATGTATTTTTCTGACAGACACTGTTCAAATGCATGAAAGCTGCGACGTGGCTGAGTGCCTGCCATTTCAAATCTGACTCACAACCAGGCTGCCACAACAAGTCAAAGATTTTTAAAACAGCCACTGGGCAGCTAGTGAGGAGGACTATTTTCACAGGGAAAGTCACCTAAAGGTGAATTCTGATCTATTCTTCAACTGTCCTATATGCTATTAGGAACATAAGAACTATCATTCCAGATCAGACCCATGGTCCACTAATCCAGTATTCTGTCCGACAACAGCCAGAACCACATTCCTCCGAGGAAGGTACAAAAAAACCCACAACAGACTGAAGTGAGCTAGACTGTCCCTTATGAAGATCTCATCCTAATCCCTAATAGCTAGAGACTGGTTTAAACCCTGAAACTTGTCCTTCCAATGCTCTGTGCTTTACTCCTGGGGGAATTCTGCACCAAAAAATTAAAATTCTGCAAAATTCTGCATATTTTATTAGTCAAAACACCACAACAATCATGCCCGTTTCAATTATTTTGGTAATTTATTTAAACTACAATACAATGGATGGAGAATGGGAGTGGGGAACATTTGAGGAAATCCCCAAACCCCCTCTGTCTAATAGTAATGTAGCTAGTATTGACCCTTTATTTCTAGTTATTAGTCAACAAATATACACAGCCATATGTTCAGTATTACATAAGAGGCAACTGAAGAGCAAATGACGGCTGGGGAATCAAACTCAATTTATATTGGCTACTGACCATCATCAGGAAGGTCAATAGTAAACAGCTACCAAACCACATTTTGATAGGAGAAATTTTCAGTCCAAAAATTTAGACCAGTTCTAATCACTAAAGCACCATAAGCATTTATATGGCCATACCATCCTTTACAATAAGATTCCTTTACACCACTCTGGCAAGGAAAGGAAGCTTAAAACTTTTACACCTGTTTTATGCTCCTGCGGGAATTCACTAAGAATGTTGTTAGTGAATTGTTCCCAACGGGAACCACCAAGCAGGCAGGCTGCTACATTATGCTCTGCCTGAGGGGACAGAGTCCCTCCACACCAGGTACACTACAATAGCAAGCCAGAGGGACAGTCTCTCTCATATTCACTCGCTTGCACACCCGCCCAGCACGCTGGTTTACATCTCCACTGGCTACTTTGGGCTGCCAGGGAGGAGCAAGCGACCGCTCTTGCGGCTTCCCTTTGCCTCCCCTCAGAAGTCATTTTTTTCTGTGGGGAAGCAAAGAAATATGTGGACAACATAAATCCTGCACTCGCGCAGTAGCGCAAAAGTGCTTGCACCTAGTTAACACAGCCCTGGGCATGCATATTATTCATACAACACTTCAAAACCCTCTTTCTATAGTAAATGTGATACGTCTGTGTAGAGGGGAATGGAGCCGGAGGGGATTTAGGGCCTAAACAGGAGTTCATGGTGCCCATCTTAGAACCAAGAGAAACTGCAAACCCACCTGGATCTTCATGGCAACTTCTTTACCATTCTTCAAGCGTGCCAGGTGAACCTGGCCAATGGAAGCGGCAGCAAAGGGACGCTCTTCAAAGTACTCCAGTTTATCCCTCCAGTTGGGACCAAGGTCGTCGTTCAAAGTTTTCTAGAGACACAGAAAAAAAATCAGGATAAAGAAAAGCTAAGATCTGAGCCAATGGAAACCACCCAGTTCCTCTGAGATGCCTGGCAAGGTCCAGAGAGCCTCAGTCTGAAAGCCCCCATGCTTTCTAGATCATCTTCCCTTTGTAGCCACTGCAAATCTAGCCAGAAATATAACACAGCCTATCCCCAAATAAATTCAGTAAAATTCAGGCTCAAGCCAAACAGGCACAGTCTTGCTCAATCTACAGAGACATGCAATGCAGTAGAGGACCAAGATCTTAAAACAAAAACACGCAGCTACAGAAGGAGTTGGTTATCAGGGTATCAAGGCCTTTTATCTTGTTGTTTTTCACCATCTTCCAGAAAAAGAGGGGGGAGGGGGAGAAGAGGGCAAGGGGATATTCCCTCTTTATCATCATTATTCATCTTTTCTGCCATGCTGCCAGTCTGAACAAGAGCAACCCAGGCATATGGCAGAAAACCGCTCTAGGGAGGTGCAGGATATAGAATAGTACTTGTAATCTGCTCTTAACAGCATTTTGATATACCATCAACCTGTTATTTCACTTTCCACTCCAAACACGTGTGGAAGCTTACTTGGGTCAGAGTCTTATGGGGAACAAACAATTCTCATGGGTTAATCTGCCTCAATCCCCTTTACTGATCTTTATAGTTAAAAAAAAAAAAATCAAGGATGGCAAAAAACTCATGTGCTTCATTTTGACCCTGCTTGAAAGCGGGTGAAATGTCACCGTGAAAAGTTATAAGCTAAAATCTTCATTTTGCCATATTGACCGTCTCAACTTTCAACCACTGACTTTCCATGGGGCTGAGACACCTAAGTGTCTGAGTCACTTTTGAAAATGGGACTTAGGTGCTTTTGGCAATTTAACCCACTCCTGCTTAGGAAAGGCTGGAAAAAGAAGTAAAGAAAAAAAGCATAACAAATGGAAAATGTAATGTACATAAACAGCCCCCGTTATGCCAGCCTAGCTTTGGGGGTGGTGGGTCCCAGCACTAATACAGAGAATACTCAGCACAGTACTGAATTTCCTGTGGATGGGTTTAAGTTACTGGGAAAGAAAAGCTCGCTTAATCAAGTTTCGTAAAACCTTTCAGCTCCACTAGCTGCACCCATGTCTTATAAAAGTCAAAATATTTACTGAAAGAGTACTCTAAAAATACCAGCCCCTGCCTTCACCTGGGGCGAGTCACAGGGTGTGTTTATTCATACTCCTACACCCTCTCCCCCTGTTAAGTAGGACAGAATATTCCTCACCATCATTTGCTTTATTGGCATGAAGTCTGCACTCTGACGTACACGCTCAAAAATCTTCTGGAGATGAGGGTTGATGAAGGCATTATCTGCCAGGAGGAAAGTACAAGCTGGTTAGAAAGAGCGAACTACACTCACAGAAACTCTCACTTATAAACATGCTTCTAATGACTAATGTGCATATGGACCCATTAGGTCTCTGTACCCCAAAGCCCTCTCTTGTCAATTACAACTCTTCAGGTGTACTGCTAGGTACAGAAGCCAAGTCCAAGATTACACTGTCAGCATTAGGATTCAAAATTCTTCCCAACGCTGAAAAAAATACCAATACTCCCCCACACAGAGCATTACATTTGGGAAGTTGGGTAACCAGTACAAAAGACACCTGCACAAATCCTGGGGCAAGAGAAGTGGCAGGAGCAAAGGGTGGTTGGGGACAGAAGAGCTGGGGCAACACAGCTTGCATTTTGTCCCCATCCCTCCAGACCAGAACAGAGTGACCCATGACTGTGCTGCAGCATTGGAGAGGGATAGCTCAGTGGTTTGAGCATTGGCCTGCTAAACCCAGGGTTGTGAGTTCAATCCTTGAGGGGTCCATTTAAGGATCTGGGGCAAAAAATCTGTCTGGGGATTGGTCCTGCTTTGAGGAGGGGGTTGGACTAGATGACCTCCTGAGGTCCCTTCCAACCCCCTGATATTCTATGAACATGGTTGCAACAAAGAAACTGATCAGTACTGTACTTTTCCACACACCCTCCCCCATCACAGTCACAAACTGAAGCATAAAACTCTTGTAAGAATAAAATCTCTCAACACACACTATATTCTACTATTGGTTTTCCAATGTTAGTCTGCTTTGTTCACAAAGATGCTGATGAAACATCAGCATGTTCTATGGCAATCCTGCTGCTACAGGAATGCGGGGAGGAATTACTTGTGGTGCTGCACCTCACTAAGAATTGTGGTAGTTAGGGATAAATACAAAACAATGAAATGGCATTTAACACAACACACAATGTACTGCACAGGTCTGTCCCCCACATGTCCAAAATTAGCACAGCATTTGTATACTGATACAGTCACTATACCACAATGTGTACAAGCTTAATTCTGGCTGATTGGGACTTCTCTACAGGATTGTGTGATACGAAAGATTAATACCCAGTCACACCCCAAGCACCAAATTTTGGCTGAGAAAATGAGATTCCATCTCTGTCACCTAAGAGTGCACTCTCTTGGAGGAAGAAAGGTACTTCAGAGACAAGACACACACTTTATCAGATGTTGAACCAAATAATCCCTGCATCTCCTGAGATGTCTGTGCAGTAAGAGGACAGTGGTTCATCATACAACTGACACTGTTCCCAGCAGCTGTATGATGCCTGGAGAGAGCTGGACATGCAACAGGTACTTTTAGTTCATTAGTTTTATCATCATTACTTATGTCCAAAAAATGCAAAGAATTTTGTACATTTATAAATATGTTCTAGTTGAGGATGCTTAATAGCCACTGTCTTGTGGTAGCAGCATGGTGCTATCAGAACCAGCCAACAAAGATGCCAGCTCAGATATGACTGCAGAGCAATACAGTGCCAGCAGTGAAGTCGGCAACACTGCAGGGAAAAGGACCATGTTACAACGTCAACAAATGTGCTGCTGAACAAGGCTAAGCCGCTAAGTGGTGAACTGATGAGATTGTCCAGAAGCTAAACAACGTAATTGTAAAATCCAGCAATACAGGCTGGAAGACAAATTCACCCCTGGCAGAAGCAGCTGCAATCTCACTGACTTCAATGCATGCACTTGTGGTGAATGTGGTCCCAAGGTGCTCTTTAACACATGTGCACACGCACCCCAATCTAACAGTTCCTGCTAACTCAGCCAACTTCTAAAACCAGGGCCAGGAGATTTAAACAAGTGTGGTATACCAAGACACACCAAATGCAAGTTATTCTCCTGGGGATACCCAATGCTTTCCTGGAAAAACAAACAAACCAAGGAAAAAAGGCAGAGTAGCCCATACATGTGACCTTGCCAGACCACAAGGTGGCAGGAATTGCACGAGCTCTGATGTCTCAGCAGCCAACCCAAGAATCAGATCCATCACAGGATGGTGGCACCAACATTTTGCTACCACTGTAAGCAACGAAGTTACTGCAGCCCTATCTTCCCCCAGAATAACAATATAGCAACCACTCCATACAAGAGGTGAGGGGGAGAAAACCTACCATTAAAATGCCTGAAGGTCTATAAATATTAGAAAGACAAGGTGGATGAGGTAATATCTTTTATTGGACCAGCTTCTGTCGGTGAGACAAGCTTTTGAGCTCTCCTGCAACAGATATGGCTACAACTACACTGCCAACAAGTATTAAAGACAATAATTAAGTCAACTAGTAAATGTTTAACTCTCATATTAGAAGGCAGGAAAGAGAAAGAAAATCCAGAGTGCTTCTGCTCCTCAGATCCAGAAGTCAGCACCTGTCCTCCCTTGTCCCCATGATTTCAGAGTGCACACAGACCAATGACTAAGCACTTGACCATTGCAACTCATTCTAACATGCAAAGTATTTTAAGCGTATCCCCTCCAGCAAGTAATCTGGCTTCAGGACTATGCACTGAATCAAGGCTCACTCAACTCTGGACATTTGGATCACTGGCTGCACAAGGTGAAGGGCTAAAGAGTTCTCCCTGAAAAATGCACTAGAGCAGAGGTTGAGGAGGAAGATACCATTCCTTACTCCACTTCCATCCCGGCACCTCTCCACACATCTGGCTTTGTTGGGCAACAGACCACAGAAGCAAGGTAGTGTGTTTCCTGAGGGTGAGGCACCTGAAAACAGATGGCAGCCTGTAAAACTGAATCAACTGCTGCAGATAAGAGCTCAGAATGAGCCACTCTATAAAAATAGATTCTGTTTAGCACCACTTGTCTCCCGTCAGCCTGTGCTCTCTTCAGAGGCCCTTTAAAATCTCCCCCGGCATTTCTGGAAGGTAAAGGTCAGGCAAAGGAAAAGCCCAGGAGGAACCACCACCTCTCAGCTGGCTTTGTTAGCAATGTCTTCGCCCTTTTGTTTGTTTTTTAAAAGCCCAACTTAGAAGGAACCTGTAGAGAGACAAGGTAGGTGAGAGAATAGCTTTTATTGGACCAACTTCTGGTGGTAAGAGACAAGCTTTTGAGCTACACAGAGCTCCTCTTCAGGCCACCGCCTGAAAGATTCAAGGACACTGCAGCACAGGGCTCCTTTCTCTGACTGCAGGTAGCCTTGTTCCCCAGAACCTTCCCCAAGCCATTACCCTTTCTGTTCAAATCTCTCCTAACACTAATTCTTTCACAAGCAAGTCAACTATTTAATACAAACACAACATGTAATTCAGCACTCTGGAATTGCCCATGACCTCACTGAGTAACCACATCATCTTTTCATTGTTTTGGCTCTATAGATTGGGAGCTCTTTGGGGAAGTGACCTTGGTCTTGCTAGATTACTAGTCATGCAAAGTATCTAGCTCGCTTTTGGGAACCAAATTTGCAAGTCAACATCTGCGAAGTTCAAGCTGCAGCATAAAACTGACCAGCCGAGTGGCTCCGTATTAGGAGCAATCAGTATCTCTCCCGTTTATTCAGTCAAAAGGACATCCTGAATTTTCCAGCTGATTTTAACTGATTCATTTCAGTTAACTCAGAGCCTTTCCCCTTGGGGAAAAAGATTCTAGAGGTTTAAATTGAATCATCTGTTTAATTTTTTCTGAGCTTTGTTTTGTCACTACTGAGAATTAACATACAGGCACCACTCATTCAGCTTCAGGTGCTGCCTTTACAGCATAGAGAGAGTAAATACCAGTTAAAATACCTTTAAAAGGAACATTACTACTGATATTTTTTAAAACTGATATTAAGATAGCAAGCTAAGCATTTTAGGCACTGCTGTCAATTTAAACCAAAGCTGCTACAATTGTGGATCTGTCCAAATAAGACATCAAGTGACAGAACTGTTTGATTCCCTAGGAAAGCTCTTCCAATGTTTCATTACCTGCACTTAAAATGTAGACCTTATTGCTAGTTTGAATTCGTCTACCTTTAACCTCCAGCCACAGATGTCATTATGCCTTTGTCTGCAAAATTAAAGAACCCACTATCATCAAATCTTCTCCCCAAGTACATCTCTCAGAGGTGACCTGAGCACAGTCTACAATCTAAACTGATTGGTAAACAGAAAATGAAAGATTCTATTGTCCCACCAATCCAGTTCCCACTTTTCCACATTTTAACCCTAAGGACACAGTTCTTCTAGCTGAGAACAACCAACAAGACAACCCCTTTGCTTGTCAGTACTGCTCTAAGACAGATTTTGAACAGAATATGTTCCGAGAAACTGATCTCACGGTGAAAGTTTCTGTGGCTTCATTACCAATCCAGTCACCCAGAACTACAACTACAAAGACAGCTTCAATATAGCAGATGTACATGTGAATATGCAGGAAGATACAGAGCAAAATAAAGGGTTTGGAGGAAGGCATCAGGCATTTGGTACATGGAGAGAAGTTAAATGAGGTCACACCCACCCACCCCTGCAGCAAAACGAAGACGGTTTCCCAGACACAGCATTAGCCAGGTGGTGGAACATTCACTTTTCAATCACTCTTGCCAAGATGGGAATTCAGATTTCCCTGCTACACCCAACTAGGTTTGGGGTTACCATCGGCAGCAGTCTCTCGCCACCAGGAGAGTTCACAGGCCAGTGAACCTTGTGAACAAGCCAGGGAGAACTACACACACCATCACTGCACTAGATAGCACAATCTGTACCTTTTCACAGTGCAAGAGTTTGGAGGCGTACTTTAAAGGCTTGTGTTGATTGCAGGACTCTGCTCTCACCTGCCTTCTCCGTCTGGCTGGGAGGTTTACTTGTTCAATTTGACCAGACTCAGTCTTTAACACTTGTGTTAAGTTTCAGGATTTGATTTTTGCTTTCACTCAACCTCATGGTATAGGGCCATCTTATTTCAGGCCAATTGCAGAAGGGTTAACTAGGCTTTAGGTAGTTACTGGAGTCTGGCAGTCTATATGGGTCTCAATTCACGTTTACAGTATAAACATTGTGGGAGGAGAATGGATGTGTGTACAGAGAAGGGTCCGACACCCACATTCCCTGCCATTTCAGGAAACCACAGGGAACTGAACTAATCAGTCAATTGTGCAATTTTGTAATCTTCATTCTCCTATGAGGAAACTGCTCAGTTAACCTGTCACCGTTCACTGGAAGCCATTTGACTGACTGACAGGACAGTTTGCTGTGCTGCTGGCTTGTTAATCGATCTTGATGTCCAGTGTGTCTTATTAGCAATGACTTTACATCCTTCCTGCCCTCTGTGTACAGTAAAATGGATTGCCCCAGGTGAGTGTCACTAAATAAAAGCTGAGAAGCACCAGAGACCCATTACTTACCTTGAATGCTCAACATCTGTCCTAGCTTCAGTGCAGCTCCCCGCACTTTGCACAGAGTTCTCACAATTCTTTCTGCATTGGCCTCTGACAGAAAGGGGCTGGAATCCATAACTGCTTTCTTTCCTGAGGATGGGAAGAGAGATTAAAATACTTTATGGATCTCAGTGTGATAGACTGTGCCATCAATGACCTCACCCCACCACATCATCCTATTTTACCCTACACCCCCTTCTCTCAAGAAATCAACATACCTATTTATCCACCATCCAGCATAAGGCCATTCCCAGAACACCTCAGAGAGGCAGCTTTGAGGCACGTATGACAGTCAGGGTCCAGACACCCCAAGGGGAGAACAGGGGGTCTGAACCCCCAAAAGTAAGCAATTGTATCAACTGGTTGTATACAATGGTATTGTATACAAAAATATGTTAAGTACAGTCTTTTATGAAAGCCTTTAATGCTTTGAGCTGGCTGGTCATTATGAGATTATACAGTTATGAATGTATGCATGTAAATATATAAAGGAAACTGTAACTAACTGTGGTGCAACTATCTCACAACAAGGTGGTGAAGGAATCAGACAGGGAGGAGTAACCTAAGCCCAGCCGGTTGTTTACACGAAACCAACTTCAAGTACCCCTCCATTGTCCAGCCCAGAAAAAGATAATGGTTAACCGTTAATGTTAATGGAAAGACAAAGTAACTGGAATTCCCCTCACTCTGAATAACCAGGAGTCACAATGCCAAGACAAAAAAATTATTTTAAAAGAACAGGCTTGTGAGATTTTGTATCCAGAAACTGAGGAGCCGCTTCTAAGCGGAGAACTGTTCCTGATTCCCTCTATAACAAAGAAGCATGCAGGGAAACTGTTCAAAGACAATAGGTAATTTATATTAGAAAAGAGAATGTTTCATATTAAAGTATAAAGCCTGAGGTTGCATCTTTATGTTTCTTTTCTGTGTAACCTGCATATGCTCTCCCTTATTTAATCTTCGAACCTGTGATTTTTCTATTAAATAAAACTTTATTTTTACCCCCAGCTGGTTTCCAGTGTGCAAACTGCATGGAGTGTGCACGGCAAAGTGAACTGATAACCAGGAGCTGTTTTCACACCTTCAGCGCTGACAAACCAGAGGGGGAAAAGTCCAAGTGTCTGGTACTTAAGAACTTGGGGTAGATGGATTTGGGGAGACTTGGGACTGAAAGGACTGTTGGGGGCAGCCTGCAAGGAGTAAGTGAGCTGGTGGAAGCCAGGGTGAGACCTTGTACTTGTAGGCTGGCTATGGAGTCAGGGCTGAGCCACAGCAGCACAGCATTAAGGCACCCGAAGTTACAAGGCAGGCGGTGACAGAACCCATTACTGGTCTGGGTGATCCCAAAACTTCACGGGGTACAAATGCGCAAAGGCAAATATGGGCCTTGTTAAAAGTCCAGTGGTGCTTTATGAGACAGGCGAAGGCCACACCACAAAGCTGTGCCAATCCACCTGCACCCTCACCAGCACACCTCCCCCTGATATTGCCATCAGGAACAGAGCAGAGCCACAGTTGGCATCCGCTGGGATTAGTGAACAGCAGAGACTGTCAACCTTTTCTCTTCATTTGGGATCTAGACCAGGTTAGAACAAAATGCCCGGGCAAGCTGATCCAATTATGCATCAGATACAACAGCAGAACAAAGTCTGTCCCCACCCTATATGATCAAGTAATTTGCAAGGGATGACAATACGTACATACTTGCAGCTTTAACTTCCTTTCAACTAAGAAAAACTGCAGCTCAATTTCAGCTCTGTGGGGTTTGGTTAAGGTGCTGTTATTGGGGTCACTCACTCAGTGATGTTCACTGCAAAGGGTTCCTTAGTCAGCTGCCCGCTATCATTCCAGGGATTTGTGACTATGCAGGATGTTTCAGTTCCACCTACTTTTCACCACAAGCTGCTTTTTATTTTAAGACTCCAAAATTCTTGAATTCATTTGATTCACTCTACAACATGCATTTTATTCTATTGGAGATGTATTCCTCCATTCCTGGGCTGCTGGACACCAGAATGATTTAGGAGGAGGAATGTCTTCCAGCCACTATGGTGCCAGTTCCTTTACCCATTTACTTGTGGGGGCCAGCTTAGCCATCCCCTAACTGGGGACTCTAGCTTTAATTTCTGTCACTTCTACTATGCTTTTTAAACAGAGCAACAGCTCAAGCTGGTTAAGACCCCACTGTTCTGTCTGAATTTAAGACCCATTCCTCTACAGATAAGCCAAATCCTGCTGGTCTTACTCTCACAATTACACCAGTATTAAAGCAAGTAGGATTAGGCCCAATGTCAACATGATTCACCTCCCCCTCAGTGCAGGCAAAACCTGCTACTGGACAGGCTCACCTGCCTTCAGTTCATTACAACTAGTTGCTACAAACCATGAGAACACTCCTCCTTTAAAGGGGAGAGGGGAGAAGGAGGGGGAGATAGTGGCTTAAAGGCTCAAGTCACAGTCCCCAAGTTTCCTTCCAGAGGCCAAAAGATGCTAAGAAGGAGCAGCTCTGTCTAGGACATCGAGACCGGGAACACAGGGTCTGTAATGGCTCCGACCAAACTTGTCTACTTCCATGAGAGCACAGCCACCTGTCAGTGTGATGGACTGTGCCAACAAGGATCAAAGGGTAACCTACCACTCAAATCTCCTACAGCCAAGCCACAGACAGGTTTGTTATAGTGAAGTACTGCAAGTCAAGTTTGTAACATTGGGCTGTGCACAGAGCTACAAAAGCTCTGTGCATGTCACCGCCTCTCCTCCCTGAGGATGAGTTGTTTGTTTAGACAACACTGACTGCACATGGAATCTGAACACACCACACCAATTTTGGACAGGAAGGAATTACATGAGCACAATGGTGGGAGAGAAGAGGGAGAAAACAGACTTACCAGCTGCTGAAGCCAAAACAGAGTACAACTCAGAGGCCAAAAGATGCTAAGAAGGAGCCTCTCACCTGCTCCTTGGAGAAAAGCCTCTCACCTGCTGTCATTACATAGTACTCAGGGTACTATGTAATGACAGCAGGTGAGAGGCTTTTCCCCCAGTGCTGAGCAAAGGTAACTAGATGAAGGAGGGAACCCAGGCTTGCTGGAGGAGAGGTGAGATCCAGACACGTTTGGCTGTTCCATAATGAACTCTGCTGAGTTAATGTGGTTTGGTACGAACTTTTTCACTGGAGTGTCCAGTTTAGAAGAAGCTAGAACTGGGTCTCAAACCTGCACCTGCTATCCAAATGCACAGGCACTTGCACAATCAGAGTCAGCTACATTCCTTCACATAGCCCTGGTCAACATGCCTAAGGCCCACAAAGAGTGGCTGCTGAAGACAAAGGCGCAAGTGGTCAGGATCAGAATTCCCCTTATGCGGTGCATAAATGTTGGCAGGCAACATGCTCATGGAAGGTGCCTGGCACTGCCCTCTTCTGGACTCTGCAGCTCCCACTTCCATTGGCTGTTTCTGGTGTTGCCAGGTGAGGAGGCGGGGACTTCTTCAGCCCCCCACCCCAACAGAGTAAGTGTGGAAGGGTGCATGTGTGGAGGACACGGAATGAAAGGAGTGACTAGAGGAGCAGATTGAACAGGAAAGAGAACAGAGTGGGGGAGGGGCAGAAACCAGGCTCAGATTTAAATTGGGGCTTATGCAGTCATTTGTCGCATGCCCTGGAAGAGTTAGAAGAGAACATGGCTCAGGATCCTGGTTTCAAGGAGTCTCTCCTGAAAGACAGCAGGGTCTCCCGGACCTGCCCAATCCAACCGGGTTTAGATTAGTTTTGAAGTTTTTTTTAAATCTGCTTTCGAACAAAATTTGAAATATCTCCCTGTTCCCTTCACCTCCCAAAGATTACTGGCTTTTGACTGTCCCTGCCAGAAAGCTTTTCTAAATCAGCAGCCAGCAGCAGGGTAGGAAGGTAAATAATCCAGCACACAAGTGGCTCAAAACCACAACAGTTGAACCATGAAAACTGAATCATCCCTGTGTCTGTCTGAATCTCACCCTTTCCACACACACACACACTTCTGCATATAGCAGGCTAAGAAACCAGTTAATGATTAAGGTGGTTCCAAGAAGCTAAAACCCTAGTAGCTTAAAAACAACCTTATCAGAGAAAGAAAAATTCCCAACAATAGCACTCCATCATTTCCTCCTGGCACGTTTCTCCCCAACAAATAAAAACCACACAAACACTAACCTGAACGTAAGTCAGCCTTGTCATTAGCAATGAAGTGTTGCCTGTTTATGCACTGTGCTAAAAATGGACATAGCCCAGAAGGTGACTTGAAAAAGGGAGATAGTTTATGTGAACAGTAGGTGAAAGGGAATCACTGGCACAACAAGAGGGAAAAAAAACAGGCTTAAAGGGATGACTGAATAAATTTCATGGAATACACCCCGCAAGCCAGTTCAGTTCATACATAGGCAAAATGGTAGAGGTAGGCTAGCTCTTCTCAATGACAGAAATAACCCTTTACTCTTATACACAGCTTTTCATCTCTAGATCTCAAAGCATGTCAAAGATTGTGAGCATCTTCACCCTTGTTTCATAGATGGGAAAATGCAGAGGAAAGTCTGGGGCAGAGACAGGAAGACAACACGGAGTGCCCAAGAACTCTAAAACCACCATTCCAACCCCAGAATTAGCCCAGCCTCCTCCAAATTTAAGTTGGTCTCAGCTGCATAACTGCTCTCAGTCTTGACGCACCCCAACCAATCACTGCTGATTTTTTCCTTACAATTAAATTGTTATCCATTTTTAAATCAGACTGTTCCCCCAGAACAAGTCACTGCACAGAATGTTTTGGGTTTTTTTGAGGACTGTCTGCTTTGCATCAGCTTTGGGACATGGGGACACAGCCTAGAACTTAGCTATGCTATCATTCCCTCCATTTTAAAGAGGAGGGCATTTCTAGAGACAAAGTTCAGCTCACCACTGACTACCTGAGAAAAGCTGATGCTACCCTTTTAGGCAGAGAGCCACAACAGGCTCTTTGTTTGCCCAACACCTAGTATGATGAAAGCACCATTGTAATATTAAGCCATTAATAAAGTTAAATTGACCTTGAAGACAAGGTCTCCTCTGCCAGCAATGGAGG